TCCCAGAAGAATAGTGTCACCCCAAAGTCCAATCCCTCCATTCCTCCCCCTCTCCTTCCATCCACATTTCCATCTCTTCTTTCTTTCCATCTTTTCTTCCTTCTGTCTCCCTCTCTCTAAGAGCAGGACCCGTAGCACTCCATTATTTGGGGAAAATCTTTCCTGGGACACCCCAAAGTCCAACCCCCTTTCATTCATTCTTTCTCTTCTCCTTCTTTCTTTCTTTCTTTCTTTCTTTCTTTCTTTCTTTCTTTCTTTCTTTCTTTCTTTCTCTTCCTCCCTCTCTCTAAGAGGGGGACCCATAGCATCCCATTCTTGGGGGGAAATCCTTTCCCAGAAGAATAGAGTCACCCCAAAGTCCAATCAATCCTTTTATCCGTCTTTCCATCTCTTCCTTCCATCTCTTCCTTCCATCTCTTCCTTCCTTCCTTCCTTCCTTCCTTCCTTCCTTCCTTCCTTCATTCCTTCCTTCTTTTTCTCTTTTTTCCTTCCCTTCTTCCCCTCCCTCTCTCTAAGGCATTCCAATTATTTTGGGGGGGATCCTTCCCAGGAAAGTAAGGGGAACCCCAAAGTCCATTTTTTTCCTCCCCACACACTCTCTCTTTCTTTCCTTCCTTCCTTCCTTCCTTCCTTCCTTCCTTCCTTCCTTCCTTCCTTCCATCTTTTCCCCCATCTTTCTCTCTCTCTCTGTCTCTAATGGGGGACCCATAGCACTCCATTTTTGGGGGGAAATCCTCCCCAGAAGAGGAGTCACCCCAAAACCCAATCCCTCTTTTCATCCATCTTTCCATCTCTTCTTTCTTTCTTTTCCTCTTTCCTCCTTCCCTTCTTTCCATCTCTCTCTCTAATAGGGGACCCATATCACCTCATTCTTGGGGGTAAATCCTTCCCAGAAGAATAGTCACCCCAAAGAGCAATCCCTCCATCCCTCCCTCTTTTCATCCATCTTTCCACCTCTTCTCTCTTTCGTTTCTTCTTTTTTCCTTCCCTTCTTTCCATCTCTCTCCCCCCCCCTCTCTCTCTAAGAGGGGGGACCCATAGCACTCCATTCTTTGGGGGGAAATCTTTCCCAGAAGAGTAGGAGTCACCCCAAAGTCCAATCCCTCCTTTCATCCATCTTTCCATCTTTTCTTTCTTTCTTTTCCCCTTCCTTCCTTTCTTTCCTTCCTTCTTTCTCCCTTTCTCTCTCTAAGAGGGGGACCCACAGCACTCCATTCTTTGGAGGGGGGAATCTTTTCTGGGACACCCCAAAGTCCAATCCCCTTTCATTCATTCTTTCTTTTCTTCTCTTTCTTTCCTTCCTTCCCTTCTTCCCATCTTTCTCTTCCTTTCTCTAATAGAGAACCCATAGCAATCCATTATTGGGGGGGAGAACAGAGTGCCCCCAAAAGCAATCCCTCCATCTCTTCATCCATCTTTCCATTTCTTCTTTCTTTCTTTTCCTCTTCCTTCCTTCCTTTCTTTCCATATCTCTCTTTCTCTAGGAGGGGGACCCACAGCACTCCATTCTTTGGGGGAAATCTTTCCCAGAAGAATAGACTCACTCCAAAGTCCACTCCTTCCATTCCTCCCTCTTTTCATCCATCTTTCCACTTCTTCCTTTCTTTTTTTTCTTCCTTCCTTCCTTCTCCCCCCCCTCTCTCTAAGAGGGGGACCCACAGCACTCCATTCTTGGGGGGAAATGCTTCCCAGAAGAATAGTCACCCCAAAGAGCAATCCCTCCATCCCTCCCTCTTGTCATCCACCTTTCCATCTCTTCTCTCTTTCTTTTCCTCTTTTTTCCTTCCCTTCTTTCCATCTCTCTCTCTCTCCCCTCTCTCTAAGCGGAGGCCACATAGCACTCCATTCTTGGGGGGGGGGGGGATCCTTCCCAGAAGAGTAACAGTTACCCCAAAGTCCAATCTCTCCATCTTTTCATCCATCATTCCACCTCTTCTCTCTTTTTCTCTTTCTTTATTTCTTCCCTTCCTTTCTTTTCTCTTTCTCCCTCCCTCCCTCTAATAGGGGTCTCATAGCACTTGGTTTTTTGGGGGAAATCCTTCCCAGAAGAGTAGGAGTCACCCCAAAGTTCAATCCCTCCATTCCTCCCTCCTTTCATCCATCTTTCCACCTCTTCTTTCTTATCTTTTCTTCCTTCTTCCTTCCCTTCTTTCATCTCTCTCTCCTTCCCTCTCTCTAAGAGGGGGACCCACAGCACTCCATTCTTGGAGGGGATCCTTCCCAGAAGAATAGAGTCACCCCAAAGTTCAACCCTCTTTTCATCCCTTCAATTCTTTCTTTCTTTCTTTCCTTCCTTCCCTCCTTCCTTCTCTCCCCCCATCTCTCTCTCTCTCTGTGTCTAATGGGGGGACCCACAGCACTCCATTCTTGGGGTGAATCTTTCCTGGGGCACCCCAAAGTCCAATCCCCACTTTCTGTCTTTCTCTCTCCCTTTTCTTTCTTTCTTTCTTTCTTTCTTTCTTTCTTTCTTTCTTTCTTTCTTCCTTCCTTCCTTCCTTCCTTCCTTCCTTCCTTCCTTCCATCTTTTTCCCCCATCTTTCTCTTTCTCTAATGGGGGACCCATACACTCCATTCTTTGGGGGGCGGAATCCTTCCCAGAAGAGTAGGAGTCACCCCAAAGTCCAATCCTCCCTCCTTCCATCTCTTCTTTCTTTTTTTCCTCTTCCTTCCTTCCTTCCTTCCTTCCTTCCTTCCTTCCTTCCTTCCTTCCTTCCTTCCTTCCTCCTTTCCATATCTCTCTTTCTCTAAGAGGGGGACCCATAGTACTCCATTATTTGGGTGAAATCCTTCCCAGAAGAATAGGAGTCACCCCAAAGTCCAATCCCTCCATCCTCCCTCCTTCCATCCATCTTTCCACCTCTTTTTATTTCTTTTTCTCTTTCTCTCCTTCCCTTCTTTCCCTCCCTCTCCTTCTCTCTAATAGGGGGACCCATAGCACTCCATGATTGTGGGGAAATCCTTCCCAGGAAAGTAAGGGACACCCCAAGTCCAATTCCGCCCCACATCCCCTCCCACACACACCTTCTTTCTTTCTTTCTTTCTCTCTCTCTCCTTTTCTTTCTTTCCTTCCTTCCATCTCTCCCCCCATCTTTCTCCCCCCCCCTAATGGGGGACCCACAGCACTCCATTCTTTGGGGGGGAAATCTTTCCTGGGGCACCCCAAAAGTCAAATCCTCACTTTCTTTCTTTCTCTCTTTTTCTTTCTTTCCTTCCTTCCTTCCTTCCATCTTTTCATATCTCTCTCCAATATCTCTCTCCAACACACAGCACTCCATTTTTTGGGGGGAGGGAAATATTTCCTGGGGCACCCCAAAGTCCAACCCCCCTCCCCTTCATTCCTTCTTTCTCTCCTTCCCTTCTTTCTTTCCTTCCTTCCTTCCTTATCTCTCCCCTCTCTTCCCTCTCTCTCTCTCTCTAATGGGGGACCCACAGCATTCCATTCTTTGGGGGAGGGAAATCTTCCCTGGGGCACCCCAAAACCCAACCCCTCCTCCCCTTCATTTTTACTTTATTTCTCTCCTTTCTCTCCTTCCTTCCATCCATCTCTCCCCCCATCTTTCTCTCTGTGTATCTAATGGGGGAGCCACATCACTCCATTCCTGGGGCACCCCAAAACCCCAAACCCCAACCCCTCCCCCCTTCATTTTTTCTTTCTTTCTTTCTCTCCTTCCCTCTTTCCCTTCTTTCTTTCTTTCCTTCTTTCCATCTCTCCCCCCATCTTTCTCTCTCTCTCTCTCTAATGGGGGGACCCACAACAATCCATTCTTTGGGGGGGAATATTTCCTGGGGCACCCCAAAGTCCAATCCCCCCCTTTCATTCTTTCTCTCTCCTTCCTCCTTCCTTCATTCTTTTCCTTTCATTCTTTCCTTCCTTCCATCTTTCCACCTTCTTTCCATCTCTCTTTCTCCAATGGGGGGACCCACAGCACTCCTTTCTTGGGGGGGGGATCTTTCCTGGGGAACCCCAAAGTCCAACCCCCCTCCCCTTCATTCTTTCTTTCTCTCCTTCCCTCTCTTTCTTTCCTTCCTTCCATCCATCTCTCCCCCCATCTTCCTCTCTCTCTCTAATGGGGGGACCCACAGCACTCCTTTCTTTGGGGGGGGGAATCTTTCCTGGGGAACCCCAAAGTCCAACCCCCCTCCCCTTCATTCTTCTCTTTCTTTCCTTCCCTTCTTTCTTTCCTTCCATCCATCCATCTCTCCCCCCATCTTTCTCTCTGTGTCTCTAATGGGGGACCCATAGAACTCCATCCTTGGGGGGAGGGGGAATCCTTCCCTGAAGAACTGAGTCCCCCCAAAGTCCAATCCCTCCATCCCTCCCTCTTTTCATCCATCGTTCCCACTCTTCTTTCTTTCCTTCCTTCCTTCCATCTCTCCCCCCCCCCCATCTTTCTCCCTCCCTCTCTCTAAGAGGGGGACCCACAGCATTCCATTCTTTGGGGGGGACTTTTTCCTGGGGCACCCCAAAGTCCAATTCCCCCCTCTCCTTCATTCTTCTCTTTCTTTCTCTCCTTCCCTTCTTTCCTTTCTTCCTTCCTTCCATCTCTCCCCCCATCTTTCTCTCTCTCCAATGGGGGGACCCACAGCACTCCATTCTTTGGGGGGAAAGTCCAACCCCTCTTTCATTCTTCTCTTTCTTTCTCTCCTTCCCTTCTTTCTTTCTTCCCTTCTTTCCTTTCTTCCTTCCTTCCTTCCTTCCTTCCATCTCTCCCCCCATCTTTCTCTCTCTCCAATGGGGGGGCCCACAGCACTCCATTCTTTGGGGGGAAAGTCCAACTCCAATTCCCCCCTCTCCTTCATTCTTCTCTTTCTTTCTCTCCTTCCCTTCTTTCTCTCCTTCCCTTCTTTCCTTCCTTTCTTCCTTCCTTCCATCTCTCCCCCCATCTTTCTCTCTCTCCAATGGGGGGGCCCACAGCACTCCATTCTTTGGGGGGAAAGTCCAACCCCTCTTTCATTCTTCTCTTTCTTTCTCTCCTTCCCTTCTTTCTTTCTTTCCTTACCTGGGGTTGCTGGAGTTCCAGAAGACCTGGTGCCGGAGGGCGTGTCCCTGGGGGGCCAAGAAGAGAAGGGGGGGCAGCAGGAGGAGGGGGAGGAGGGACCCCCACCGCCCAGACAGGGGCCCCCCAACCCTCCGCATCCTTCCTTTCCCTGCTTTCTTGCCCTCCTTTCTCTCTTTCTCCCTTCCTTCCTTTCTTTCCTGGGCTGGAGGCAGGAAAGCAGCCAGAGGCGCCCCCCCCCTTCCCTTCTTCCCAAAGGAACGCCGAGGCAGGGCCAGGCCACGCCCCCAACTCCAACTTCTGACCAATCGCAGCACCGCGTCCCAGGACCGAAAAAAAAAGGAAAAAAGGGGGAGAGAGAGAGAAAGAAAGAAAGAAAGAAAGAAAGAAAGAAAGAAAGAAAGAAAGAAAGAAAGAGAAAGAAAGAAAGAAAGAAAAAGAAAGAAAGAAAGAAAGAAAGAAAGAAAGAAAGAAAGAAGGGAAAAGGGAAAGAAAGGCAGGCGCCGGAGGGGAGGGGGAGGGGGGAGGGGGGAGGGGGGAGGAAGGGTTGGGGGGTGAACTCTTCCGCTCCCATTCCCCCCCCCCTTTCCATTCATTCCCATGCACTGGGACCCATGGTTTGCAAACTGACACAGAACATGGGAGTTGTAGTTCTTCTCTTCCCCCCCCCTCTAAAAAAAAAAGGTCTTTTGGGTGGGTTTCTGTAGGCAACGTTGCAGAATGGATGCAGTTGGAGAACAAGCCCTGGTGGGAGTTGTAGTTTCCCAAGGTCTTATTATGGGAGTTGTAGTCTCCCAAGATATTTTATGGGAGTTGTAGTCTCCCAGGGTCTTTTTTTTTTTTTTTATGAAAGTTGTAATTTCCCAAGGTCTTTTATGGGACTTAGAGTTTCCCAATTTTATAAGAGTTGTAGTTTCCCAAGGCCGTTTATGGGACATGGAGTTTCTCAAGGTCTTCTATGGGAGTTGTAGTCTCCAAAGGTCTTTTATGGGAGTTGTAGTCTCCCAAGGTCTTTTATGGGAGTTGTAGTTTCTCAAGGTCTTAAAAAAAACACCCAACTCTGGGTGTATCCTGGGAGTTGTAGTATCTCAAATTCTTTTATGGGAGTTGTAGTTTCCCAATGTCTTAAAAAACACCCAACTCTGGGTGCATCCTGGGAGTTGTAGTTTCCCAAGGTCTATTATGGGAGTTGTAGTCTCCCAAGGTCTTTGTGTACACCTCTATTGCAGAATGAATGCAGCTCAAGGCAATGGGGTCCTGGGAATTGTAGTTTCCCAAGGTCTTTTATGGGAGTTGTAGTCTCCCAATGACTTTAAAAAAAACAAAACACCAAACTCTGGGTGCATCCTGGGAGTTGCAGTTTCCCAAGGTCTTTTATGGGAGTTGTAGTTTCCCAAGGTCTTAAAAAAACACCCAACTCTGGGTACATCCTGGGAGTTGTAGTCTCCCAAGGTCTTCGCGTACAGCTCTACTGCAGAATGAATGCAGCTCAAGGCAATGGGGTCATGGGACTTGTAGTTTTCCAGTGTCTTTTTTGCCCTCCTCTGGCTGCATCCTGGGAGTTGTAGTCTCCCTAGGTCTCTGGATACACCCCTATTGCAGAATGAATGCACCTCAAGGCAATTATTATTATTATTATTATTATTATTATTATTATTTGCACTTGTTAACCGCCACTCTCAGCCCGAGGGCGACTCGTGGCGGTGTACAGAACATAGAAAAAGACAACAGTTTACAATAAATCAAGACCAATACAACAACGAATTAAACTAAAAATCCGCATTCGTCTAGTTTGGAGTCATAATCAATCTCATAGTCATAGTACATTCCGGTGGTCATTCCAACAACGTAGCACTTAGTTGAAGGCCTTTTCGAAGAGCCAGGTTTTCAGGCCCTTGCGAAAGGCCATGAGGGAATGAGGTCCTCGGAGTTGTAGTTTCCCAAGGTCCTTTCTGTGTCCTGGGAGTTGCCGTTTCCCAAGGTCTATGGGTGCACCTCTATTGCAGAATGAATGAAGCTCAAGGCGATGTGGTCCTGGGAGTTATAGTCTAGCAAGGCCTCCTTGGAGCTGGGCCAAACTACAACTCCCAGCACCAAACTCCAAACTACAACGGCAGGAAGAGCCCTGGTGGTTACAGCGGGAGGCCTTCATTCTACAAGTGTAGATGCACCCTTAGTGAAACTACAACACCCAGGATCCCATTGCCGTCAGGAAAGGCAGGTAATCGATAACATGTATTATTATTGTTATTATTATTATTAATGTCAGTTCAAGTGCATTCCTCCCTCAGTGTAGTCGCGCCCTTAGTGAAACTACAACTCTCAGGAACCCACAACTATCAGGAAAGGCGGTAATATTATTACACATGTATTATTATTGCTTTATTATTGACTATTTATTTATTTATTTATTTATTACTGACTATTTATTTATTTATTATTATTTATTATTATGGCAGTTCAAGCGCATTCCTTCACCAGGGAAACTACAACTCCCAGCATTCCCGCAGCATTGAAACACGCGGCTCAACCAATTAATTCTGCAGTACAGAAGGAAGGCTTTGCAAAACTACAACTCCCAGGCTTCCTAGAACGAAGCCGCGGAAAATTGGAATAAGGACCCCCCACGCACCCACCCCGAGAACTACAAATCCCATTTGGATAAAAGGGAGAGAGAGAGAGGGAGAAGTTGGCTTTGCAAACCAAGCAATCTCTGGGCAAGTGAGCGCTTGTGCAAAACGGCCCTTCTTCTCCTTCTTCTCTTGATGTCCCAACTCATAAAAACAAAAAAGGATTATTTGGATTATTATTATTATTATTTTGATTATGATTATTATAATAGGCGATTTGGACTTGAAAGCCAGCTTTGGAGAAAGAAAAAAAAGCAATACAGAATTCCCCCTCCTTCCACTCCCATGCAAATCTATGGATATTTTCCTTGTTTTTCCCCCCTACTCCAAATCCCATCATCCTGGGCCATCAGGAAGAAGGGCACGCATGGGAGTTGTAGTCCAGCCTCATTGTTCCTTCGTTTGTTTTGTTAAAAGGCCGGTTGAATGGAGGCCAAGGCTTTCCTCCCCCAAATGCACACCTATATTGGACTACATATCCCATTATCCTTGACAATATGGAAAACTCTTCCCCAAAGCCATGGGGCTGGATTTTCATCTACATCTCTTTTCTCTGCACTTTTAGGGGATTGGGATTCCCATCCACCTCGATGTCAAGGATGGTGGGACATGTAGTCCAAGGGAGCGACATATAAATTTGTATATGTACGTATATATATATACATGAGTGTATGTATACACACTTTCATGTTACACAATAATAGGGGATTGATGTCAAGGATGGTGGGATATGTAGTCCAAGTGACATATACATATTTATATGTACATATACATATACATATGTGTGTATGTATACACACTTTCATGGCACACAATTATAGGGGATTGGGATTCCCATCCATCTTGATGTCAAGGATGGTGGGATATGTAGTCCAAGGGAGCGACATATACATATCTATATATATGTGTATGTATGTGTGTGTGTGTGTGTGTGTGTGTGTATATATATATATATATATATATACACACACACATGTGTGTATGTATACACACTTTCATGGCACACAATTATAGGGGATTGGGATTCCCATCCACCACGATGTCAAGGATGGTGGGATACGTAGTCCAAGGGAGCAACATATACATATGTTAAAGTATGTATACATATACACGTGTGTATGTATATACACTTTCATGGCACACAATTATAGGGGATTGGGATTCCCATCCACCGTGTTGTCAAGGATGGTGGGATATGTAGTCCCAGGGAACAACATATACATATCTATATGTATGTGTATGTATGTATGTACACACACACACGTGTGTGTATGTATGCACACATTCATGTCACACAATAATAAGGGATTGGGATTCCCATCCACCTTGATGTCAAGGATGATGGGATATGTAGTCCAAGGGAGCAACATATACATATATATAAGTATGTATACATATACATGTGTGTGTGTGTATACACACTTTCATGGCAATGCTCTCACCCTGATCAGATTGGAAAGACCCCAAAAGTCCATTCAGATCAACAAGAGGGCACCATTCGATCCCTCCTGACAGATGGCCAGCCAGTCTCTGCTCATATGCCTCCAGGGAAGGAGACTCCATCCTCATCCTCATTACCACCAGAGAGTATTATTGTTTATACAGCCCAACAGGCGGGGGGCACCATTCAATCCCTCCCGACAGATGGCCTTCCAGCCTCTGCTTCTAGATAAAGAAAGATTATGATGATAGAATCTTATGAACTGGAAGGAACCCCCAAAGGCCATATAGTCCAATGGGTATGGGGGGGGGCACAATCTAATCCCTCCTGACAGATGGCCACCCAGCTCACCTCTAAAGCCCCCTTTGGACCCCTGAATGGAAACCTTGACCACCTCTTCTTAATGGGAGGGGGTTCCTAGAGGCCATCTAGCCAACCCCGTCCCATAGGTTTGCCTTGGCCCGGCATCAGAGGCAGAGGCGGCAGCGTTTGTGGCGGTGAGTCACGTATTTGGTGGAATTACAGGGCGCAGCAAGAAACGGGGATCGGCCCTGTTCCCACGGGGGGGGGGGGGGGGGGGTGTATGCATGTAGGGAAGGCCTGTGATTGGCCGGTTGGAGGGGGTCCCCCAAAGGGCCCCCCATTAAGCCCCCAACCCTCCTCTTCTCCTTCCACTTCCCTCTTAAATCCAAACAGATGCCAAACTGAGCTCCAATAATCCTGGAGTCGCAACGAAGGCACCATCTGATCCCTCCCGGCAGATGGCCATCCAGCTTTGGATTCACATCCCCCGGGGAAGGGGATAAATAGATGGATGGATAGAGAGAAAGGTAGATAGACAGAAAAGATAGCTAACTACCTGGAAAGATAGACAGAATCCTAGTTAGAAGGGGCTTCCAAAGATCATCCAGTCCAACCTCCTTCTGCGATATATAGATATACAGAGTGATAGATAGATAGATAGATAGACAGACAGATAGATGGAGGATGATATCATCATAATTGATAGTTATTACTGTGATTATTATTGTTGTGATGGTATTATTATTATTGATATTATTATAGTGATGGTATTAGTATTGTGATTATTATTATTGTGATGGTATTATTATTATTATTATTGATATTTTTATTATTATTGTGATGGTATTATTATCATCATTATTATTGTGATGGTTATTATTATTGTCATGGTATTATTATTATTATTGTGATGGTATTATTATATTTAATATTATTATTGATTACTATTATTATTGTGATTATTATTATTGTGATGGTATTATTATTGATATTATTATTATTATTATTATTATTATTAATATTGTGATAGTTATTATTGTGATGGCATTATTATTGTGATTCTTATTATTATTGTGATTATTGTGGTATTATTATTATTATTATTATTGTGATGGTATTATTATATTTATTATCATTATTGATTATTATTATTGTGATTATTATTATTGTGATTGTATTATTATTATTGTGATAGTTATTATTATTGTGATGGTATTATTATTGTGATGGTATTAATATATTTATTATTATTATTGATTATTATTATTATTGTGATAGTTATTATTGTGATTATTGTGGTGGTATTATTATTATTATTGTGATGGTATTATTATTATTATTGTGATGGTATTATTATTATTATTGTGATGGTATTATTATTATGTTTATTATTATTACTCCAATTATATTGCCTATGTTTTTGCCTTTTTTGGGTAACATCCTATTATTATTATTATTATTATTATTATTATTATTATTTGATTACCCCCTTTCCTCTCCCCAATCCTCAACTTTCCAATCTTTGAGTCAAGGCCACCACCTGCTGGAGAAATTGAGGAATGACACCCTGTTGTAAAATGTAATATTCAATAATAATAATAATAATAATAATAATAATAATAATAATAATAATAATAATTCGAAAATACATCACTTGAATTATTATTATTATCATTATTATTAATTGATTATCCCACTTTCCTCTCCCAAATCCTCAACTTTCCAATCTTTGAGTCAAGGTCGCCACCTGCTGGAAAAGGGAGGAATGACACCCTGTTGCAAAATGCAAAATTCAATAATAATAATAATAATAATAATTTGAAAATACATCATTTGAATTATTATTATTATTATTATTTGATTATCCCACTTTCCTCTCCAAATCCTCAACTTTCCAATATTTGACTCAATTCAATAATAATAATAATAATAATTTGAAAATACATCATTCGAATTATTATTATTATTATTTGATTATCCCATTTTCCTCTCCCAAATAGTCAACTTTTGAAGAAACCATCACTGTTGAAGAAACCATCACTGGACCCCACTAAATTCGACAACTATCGGCCAGTTTCCAATCTCCCCTTCTTGGGCAAAGTCTTGGAACGTGTGGTGGCCTCACAACTCCAGGTATTCTTGGTAGACACGGATTATCTAGACCCGGCACAGTCTGGCTTTAGGCCGGGACATGGTACCGAGACAGCCTTGGTCGCCTTAGTGGATGATCTGCGCCGGGAGCTCGACAGGGGGAGTGTGTCCCTGTTGGTGCTGCTGGACCTCTCAGCGGCCTTCGATACCGTCGACCACGGTATCCTTCTGGGACGCCTCGCGGGGATGGGTCTTGGAGGTACTGTTTTGCAGTGGCTCCGGTCATTCCTGGAGGGTCGATCTCAGAAGGTGTTGTTGGGGGACACCTGTTCAACCCCACAGCCATTGTCTTGTGGGGTTCCTCAGGGCTCAATATTGTCTCCCATGTTGTTTAACATCTACATGAAGCCGCTGGGGGAGATCATCCGGAGTTTCGGGGTACGGTGTCATCTGTACGCGGATGATGTCCAACTCTGTCACTCCTTTCCACCTGCTACTAAGGAGTCTGTCCAGGTCCTGAACCGGTGCTTGGCCGCTGTGACGGTCTGGATGAGGGCAAACAAATTGAAATTGAATCCAGACAAGACAGAGGTACTCCTGGTCAGTCGCAAGGCCGAACAGGGCATAGGGTTACAGCTTGTGTTGGATGGGGCCGCACTCCCCCTGAAGACGCAGGTTCGCAGTTTGGGTGTGACCCTGGACTCATCGCTGAGCCTGGAACCCCAGGTTTCGGCGGTGACCAGGGGAGCATTTGCACAGCTAAAACTTGTGCGCCAGCTGCGCCCGTACCTTGGGAAGTCTGACTTGGCCACGGTAGTCCATGCTCTTGTTACATCCCGTTTAGACTACTGCAACGCTCTCTACGTGGGGTTGCCTTTGAAGACAGCTCGGAAGCTCCAACTAGTCCAACGCTCGGCAGCCATGATTTTAACAGGAGCGGAGCGCAGGGAGCATACAACCCCCCTGTTGCGCCAACTCCACTGGCTACCGATCTGCTACCGGGCTGAATTCAAAGTGCTGGCGTTGGCCTTTAAAGCCCTAAACGGTTCCGGCCCAAGCTACCTATCTGACCGCATCTCTGCCTATGAACCCACCAGGACTTTGAGATCTTCCGGGGAGACCCTGCTCTCGATCCCGCCTGCTTCTCAAGCACGGCTGGCAGGGACGAGAGATAGGGCCTTCTCGGTGGTGGCTCCTCGGCTGTGGAACGCCCTTCCTACGGACATTAGACTAGCACCATCTCTAATGGTATTCCGCAAAAAGGTGAAGACCTGGATGTTTGTGCAGGCGTTTGAGTAATTTAGTGCAATCTGGTAATGGAACATAGGAAGGGAACAATGGACGACGAACCTGGACTACGCTTGGATGATGAGAAGATTGGGTACGGTTGTTTTTTGTAATAATTGTGCATTGTAATTGCTTATTGGTAATTTATGGATAATGTGTTAAGTCAATTGTTATATGTTGCATGGAACCACTGCTGTTTCTACTGTTTTTACTGTTTGTGAACCGCTGTGAGTCGCCTTCGGGCTTGAGATACAGCGGTATAGAAGCAAAGTCAATAAATAAATAAATAATAAATAAACTTTCCAATATTTGACTCAAGGGCGCCACCTGCTGGAAAAGGGAGGAATGACACCCTGTTGCAAAATTCAATAATAATAATAATCATCATCATCATTTGAAAATACATCACACAGTCCTAGATGCTTGGGAAGTGTTCGACTTGCGATTCTGTGATACAAAATCCAGCATATAGATCTTGTTTGCTGTGACATATTGTGCTTTTGTGTCAATAATAATAATAATAATAATAATACATCACACAGTCCTAGACACTTGGGAAGTGTTCGACTTGTGATTTTGTGATATGAAATCCAGCATATAGATCTTGCAATTAAATAATAATAATTTAAGAGGTTACCAGGATTATATTATTATGGTTGCTGTTGTTGTTGGAGCAGAAGCCAACTACAAGGTGTCCAGCAACTCTGGGCGTGAGGTAACACTGGATCAACCTGATTTCGTGATTGGCTAGTTGTCCAGGGAGGAGATGCACTTTGGTGTTTTTTTGTAATATATATATGATGATAATAATAATAATAATAATCATTATATCATATATATATATATACACACACACACATAATATTGTTATTATAAATTATTATTATGTGTCCTGCCTATATAATAGAGGAATTAAAACCGTCTTCTGCATCTTCCGGTCAGTAAAATAATAATAATTTAAGAGGTTACCAGGATTATATTATTATTGTTGTTGCTGTTGCTGTCATTGGAGCAGAAGCCAACTACGAGGTGTCCAGCAACTCTGAGCGTGAGGTAACAGTGGATCAACCTGATTTCTTGATTGGCTGGTTGTCCAGGGAGGAGATGCAATTTGGTATTTTTTGTAATATATATATGATGATGTTGATGATAATAATAATAATATCATATATATATATACACACACACACATATAATATTGTTATTATAAATTATTATTATCTGTCCTGCCTATATAATAGAGGAATTCAAGGCATCTTCTGCGTCTTCCTGTCTTTGCCCCGGAAGAGCTTTAGAAATACATAAAATAATAATAAAACTCTACTTTTATTAAGAAGAGTAGAATGCCTTTTGGGGGAGACGGGCCTCCCCGATATATTCTCTGAGCGCAACGCACACAAACAAACAAACAAACACGTAAACACACAAATATATATAGAATTAGATAGATCTGCCTTTTCTGTCCCTCGTGCACAATTGTGCACAATCCACACATTCCCACACTCAAGGGAAACTCCAAATCCCACCCCCCCACCCCAGTTTTCCAGTGCAAAATCCTCATGGTCAGTCCTTGACCGCTGCAAAGTCCAGCAAAGGCAACGGATGGAGCGTCTTTCCACCTTCTTGACCAATGCAAGAAAGTCCTCAGACCTGGAAGAAATGGGCCGGAGGAGGAGGAGGAGGAGGCGGTGCCGGTCTGCAAAGGAAGCAAGCAAAGGAAATATAGGTATATACATACCATATACATATACATATGCATACACATATATAAGTTGTAGTCCATAAGGAAACCGGCCCATTTTGTTGTTGCTGTCCTTGCAACAACTGCAAATTTCATCTTCTCCCTGGACAACCAGCCAATCAAGAAAGCAGGTCGATCCAGTGTCACCTCACGCTCAGAGTTGCTGGACACCTCGTAGTTGGCCTCTGCTCCAATGACAACAACGGCAACAACTCTATCTATCTATCTATCTATCTATCTATCTATCTATCTATCTATCTCTCTCTCTCTCTCTCTCTCTATATATATATATATATAACAATTATCGTTGTTACGACTATTATTATCATTGCAATTGTTATAATAATAGTTGGAATAATAATGGCAGTTTTAATAATAATAGTAAATATAATAATAATGGCAGTTTTAGTAGTAGTAATGATAACTGGAATAATGATAGTAAATATAATAATTGCAATTATAATAGTAATAATGAATATTGTAATAATAGTAGTAGTAATATTAATAATCATTGTAATATTAATAGTAGAGTATTAATATTACTACTACTATTACAATTTTAAAATAATAGTAAATATAATAATTGTAATTATAATAGTAAAAATGAAAATTGTAATAATAGTAGTAGTAGTAATATTAATAATCATTGTAATAATAATAGTAGAGTATTAATATTACTACTACTACTATTACAATTTTATATTAATAGTAAATATAATAATTGCAATTATAATAGTAATAATGAAAATTGTAATAATAGTAGTAGTAGTAATATTAATAATCATTGTAATAATAGTAGATTATTAATATTACTACTACTACTATTATTACAATTTTCATTATTACTATTATACTTGCAATTATTATATTTCATTATTACCTCTATTATAATTGTAATTATTATATTTACTATTATTATTACATTTATCATTATTATACGACTACTATTATAATATTATTGCAAATATTATTATATTTACTATTATTACTATTATTATATTTACTATCATTATTCCAGTTATCATTACTACTACTAAAACTGCCATTATTATTATATTTACTATTACTATTAAAACTGTCATTATTATTCTAATTATCATTATTACACTTATGATTATAACTGCAATTGTTATATTTACTATCATTATTCCAGTTATCCTTATTACTACCATTACCATTGCAATTATTATTATATTTACTATTGTTATTCCAATTGTCATTATTATTCCAGTTATCATTATTATTACTACTATTATCATTATCACGGCAATTATTATTATATTTACTGTTACTACAATTATGATTCATTGACCACACTGTTGGATTATCAAATGTCTAGATGTCATCGGGGTTTGTGAAGATATTAGAAAATTCACCGAAAATGCAATGAAACAATGGAAAACTGAGTTGTTTGTGGGCAACGAAAGCATTCATTACAATTATTATTATTATTATTACTATTATTATTGTTATTTATTACTATGATGACGATGATGATGGGTCCTGACCTGGAGGGCAGTCTGTGTGCAGTGGGTTCTTGTCCAGCGAAGGGGCTGCAGAGCTCCGTCCGCAGAGGAGGGTCCGGTGGAAGCGGTTTCCGGGGTGGAGGGGTCTTGTCCGGACCAGAGGCCTAAAGGGAAGAAGGTGCAAGGAGGGTCCAGATCCCGCTGGACAGAGGGTCCTCCCTTTGGCCACTGTGACCGAGGGCATGGAAGCCCACCTTGACCCATTGGCTTGACCATCCAAACGCCCCCCCCAAAGGGTTACCTGGGCCTCTTTGGGCAAAGGGTCAGCGGGCAGCGGCCGGCTGGGAGGGGCAGGCCGCTCTTGGACCCCAACGGAAGAGGAAGAGGCCTGGCGGACAGACAGAGAGAGAAGGGAGAGAGGGCCGCGCCGGACACAGGCCAAAGGGCATGGAGCGGTCAGTAGGGTCACAAAAGTCAGAGCATGCAAACCAGTTCAATACTATTAGTGCTGCATTCAGTGGGGGCTCAGGGCTGAAGCAACTACTACTTAGGAAGGGGGCATGACTCCAAGATATTATTATTATTATTATTATTATTACTACTAGCTGTACCCTGCCACGCGTTGCTGTGGCCCATTTCAGTCTTCCCTTTCTGCTTCCCTTCCTTCCTTTTTTGTTACCTTCCTTCCTTTATGTCTTCTGTGTTTCCTTCTTCCCTTCCTTCCTTCTCCTCCTCCTTCTCCTTCCTTCCTTCCTTCCTTCCTTCTCGTCCTCCCTCCCTCCCTCATTCCTCCCTTCGTTCTGTTTCTGCCTGCCCCTTCCCCTCCGTGATGTTGTGCCCCTCGTTCCCTCCTTCCTTCCTTCCTTCCTTCCTTCCTTCCTTCCTTCCTTCCTTCCTTCCTTTTTTCTTTCTATCTCTCCTTCCATCTCTCCCTCTTTTTCCTTCCTTCCTTCCCTTTTTCTTTCTTTCTCTCCTTCCTTCTCTCCCTTTTTCATATCGTACTATCATATTATCCCCGATGCCTTTGCCCAATGAGTTGGATTCCCAGGGCAAGGGGCGCGAGTCTCCTTAGAGCGCAGCTTGTGGGCGGAGCTCCGGGACAGGCCCCGCCCCCTCCTTCCCCCTCCCTTTGCGGCGGGGCCCTGATTCAGGCGCGGCACGTGCCGGATCCCGGGGCATTTAAACGCCGGCCGGCCTCCAGCCCCGAGAAGGGAGTAGACCCGCCTCCTTCTTGCTTTTCTCCCTTCTCCGGTTCGCTTCCCTCCCTCTGAAGCCGCCCCAGCCATGAAAGCCATCCCTGCGCCCGGGATCCGCTTCCTCCGCTCCTTCTCCAGGGACAGCTGCTAAGCAAGGCTTCTGTGCCCACCATTCCTCTCCTAGGCAAACGCTTCGGAGGCTTCTTCTACTGCTAGCCAAGCTTAGCCATTGTCAAAACCCGGGAGGCTGCTCCTTCCCTGCAATCCTCGGCTTCCCTTCCCTTTTGTCCTCCTCCAAAACAAAGCGCGTCTGTGTGGGAGATGCTGCCCAGAGGGGGGGGTGAGGGGCGGCGGGTGTGCGCGTGGCGGGGAGTTTCCGCCGCGCGCGCGTGTGTGCCGCCGGGGGGGGGGCGAGGGGCGGCGGGTGCGCGCGTGCCGGGGAGTTTGCGCCAGTGCGCATGTTCAGTTGTTTTGTGGTGTTTTCGTCGTTGCAGTTGTGTTTGCTTTACTTTGGAGTAGATTAGTTTGTAGCGAGTGGGTTGTCCTAGGGGCATGGGAATGTTGGTTCAGTTTCGTTGGGGGGTTGTGGAGTTATGCGACGCCGTACGACGCCCCCTACAGATTTATATATATAGATTACTACAACAACTACTACTATTCTCTGCAAACTGCAATGCTAAAGTGTTCCTGTCGAAAGCTCTCATTGTTGTCATTGGAGCAGAGGCCAACTACGAGGTGTCCAGCAACTCTGAGCGTGAGGTAACACTGGATTATACTAATTGCAGTCACCAGTCCTCATTAATGGCTCGCTGGTAAAGTTCAACAACAACAACTACTACTACTATTATTATTTGAAATACCATTATTATTATTATTATTATTACTATTACTACAACAACTACTACTATTCTCTGCAAACTGCAATGCTAAATGTTCCTGTCGAAAGCTCTCATTGCCATCACAGCTCTATTATATTATTATTATTATTATTATTATTATTACCATCATTATCAATATATAAGAAGTTACGATGGCATAATAATAATAATTTAAAAGGTTACCAGGATTATATTATAATATTATTTTCATTTTTATTGTTGTCATTGGAGCAGAGCCCAACTACGAGGTGTCCAGAAACTCTGAGCATGGGGTGACACTGGATCAACCTGCTTTCTTGATTGCAGGTTGATCCAAGATACAATTTGCTATTAATTAAATACAACAAAGTATCAATACATCTCGTTCTTTCTTAAGGCTAAATGGTAAAGTGCAATAATAATAACTATTATTATCATAATCAAAATTATAATTATACTAATTGCAGTCACCAGTCCTCATTAATGGCTCGCTGGTAAAGTTCAACAACAACAACTACTACTACTATTATTATTTGAAATACCATTATTATTATTATTATTATTATTATTATTACTACAACAACTACTACTATTCTCTGCAAACTGCAATGCTAAAGTGTTCCTGTCGAAAGTTCTCATTGCCATCATAGCTCTATTACTATTACATTATTATTATTATTATTATTATTACCATTATTACCATCATCATCAATATATAAGAAGTCACGATGGCATAATAATAATAATAATAATAATAATAATTTAAAAGGTTACCGGGATTATAATATTATTATTATTTTTATTGTTGTTGTCATTGGAGCAGAGGCCAACTACGAGGTGTCCAGAAACTCTGAGCGAGGGGTGACACCGGATCAACCTGCTTTCTTGATTGCAGGTTGATCCAAGATACAATTTGGTATTAATTTAATACAACAAAGTATCAATACATCTCTTTCTTTCTTAAGACTGAATGATAAAGTGCAATAATAATAATAAATATGAATATTAATATATCCATATTAATATCAATTATTATTATTATCAATAATAATAATGAATATTATTTTCATAATCAAAATTGTAATTATACTAACTGCAGTCAACAGTCCTCGTTAATGGCCCGCTGGTAAAGTGCAACAACAAATATTATTGTTGTTGTT